TGAACCAGGCCCCGGGCACTGCCGCGCCTTCCGCCCGCTCCTCCGCGACCGTGCGCGGGCTCCTTTCCGCCCCCGCCGCTTCATTATGCTGCGTGAGGTGCCCCCGCACGGCGGCTGACACCTGTGTCTTGCAGGTAACGTTTCGGACGAGAATCTACCACTGTAACATTAACAGCCAAGGCGTCATCTGCCTGGACATTTTGAAAGACAACTGGAGTCCAGCATTAACCATTTCTAAAGTTCTCCTCTCCATCTGCTCCCTCCTCACAGACTGCAACCCGGGTAAGCCCCTGCGTGGTTAGGCTGCCTTGCACCCACCCAGCACCCAAACGATGTGCCTCTTGTCTCACCTTGTTGGCTGGTGGCTCTGGCCTCCAGTGCAGCACGTTTCCCTCTCCAGGGCAGCCAGAAAGGGGCTGGAGGTGGTGGAGGTGGTGGTACACCCTACCCGCCTGCTGTTCACTGCTCCTCGGGCTGACCCGCGGGGAAAGCGTCGGTCCTCCTCCTGCACATGAAAACTCCTTCCCCTTCCAAACCAACTCTGGTTTTGGGTAAGGGTTAAACACTCTTCACTGGTCTGTAGGACTACAGTAATGCAGTCATGGAGCTAGAAGAACCACCAGTTCTGAACACAAGAGGATTAGCCCTTGTCTTCCCATCATCAATTTAAAAACAGTGACCAGCTATGCCTCAAGTAGTCCTTGCTGCTTCTCTAATGCACCCATTTTCCACACAAGTTAAGACGAATATGTCTTTGCAAAGTCAGTTTTACAGGTTGTATTTCTAGATGTGTCTAAAGATGAGAGAAATACCAGATTTCACACTGTATTATATACAACAAGAATAAACTTGTTGGAGAAGTAAAACCTCTCCCTGATCTTTCCTAGAAGACAGATTTGTACTGCTACAGGTACACTTAGCAATGCATGTGACCCATGCGCTTTGAGAAGGGGTAAAATAAACCCAAAATGCATGAATCGATGAAAGTCCTCAGCAATTCAAAATACAGTGGTTGGATTGTTCTCTTTCAAACTCCTTAAAACTTCAATGGGCATTTTGCTTTTTACTAGGTAACAGATTAGTACATCACCATAAATACACACAAATTGATAAAGATACAGACCATCAATTCAGTATACTTAGATTGTTTCAATGTACCTTACCCATACGATTCCCTTGTATTAAATACATGCTTCTGCTTTATTTTTAAGTTTTTATTGGGTAACTTGTGTGAAATAAGTGATTTCTTTTCTTTTCTTTCCAGCTGACCCCTTGGTTGGAAGTATTGCCACTCAGTATATGACTAACAGAGCAGAGCATGACAGAATGGCCAGACAATGGACCAAAAGATATGCTACATAAGTTGAATTTCTGTCAAACTCTAACATTATTTGTCTGTGATGGAAAGAGCTGCTTATGATTTTGAAGGGGTAGGGGGAGGGAGGGTGCTGGTAAAGAGTAGGGTATTTCTATAACAGATTTTATTCAGTCTTTTATTTCCTGAGATTTTGTTGTTGTAACTTAAGGTATCTTGCTACAGCAGACAGCTAGGATTGGGAATAGTATATTTTAAGACTGTAATTAGTTCAGCAATATTAGTTCACATATAGTACCGAGAAGAATGTAAACTTCTTAGACTTCCTTGGTTTTCATTTTGCTTGCAATATGTAAAAGATTAAAACAGCTTAATTTTGTACAGGTACATACGTTAACATTTATGTAAAAGTCTTCTCAAGACTCTACACACTGTTTTTCCTTTTTTGTTTCAAGCTTGCGGGAGTTATTTTGTTCTGTGTGGGATTTCTTTTTTTTTTTTTTTTTTTTCTTGTAAAACGATGTCAGGATTGTTTTCCCCTATGGAGGGCACATTGGTATTTAACAAATCGTTTTTAAAGACTGTCATCTCATGATCTGTGATATGGAGAGGTGGATGTAGGGCCTCATATATGAAATGAGAAGTAGTTAATGTATTATTTTATAAGCCAATCTATCTTTGTGAAAAGAATGAAGGGTTTAATCAGGACTTATGGAACCTGTAGTGAAATACCTTAAGCTGTTTAACTGTAAGGCGTGGAATAGGAGTCACTCAGTGGATTGGTTGTATGTTGTGGGCTACTTAAGTCTGCATTTGTTACTGTGCTAATAAAAAGATGTTTAAAAAAAAAGGACAGATTTCTGCTTAGTGCCTTGCTTTGTCATTTTGCCAGAGCAGCATCTCCCAGTACGCCGTGAGGATTACAGTATGGATAAGGCCGAGGGAGGTGTGCCGGTGAGCGCACCGGCTGCTGCTGTTTTGGGAAGACCCTTGTAGGCGAGCACACAGTGAGTGACAGTGTAAGACTTGTTCAGTTCTTCTCTGCGTGCTGCCCGGGCCGGCGTGGCTCACGAGGAGCCGACCTGCCACACGGCCCGTGCTAGTTACTTCTCAGCGTTGGCTTTTCAGGACTAGCACGTTATTTGGAAGTACAACTGGAAAGGTGCAAGAGATCTGGAAGGAAAAAGGCAGGAGGTAGAAGGAAGAAGAGAACATCTTCATGGTTTTCTGATGGAGTGGTCTGTTCCCATTTGGGAGAGGAGAAGGAATGGTGTCCTCTTAAGCTAGCAGAAGACATCTTAAAGGAGAGTAAAAGAGACTTAATCTGTAGAGCCTTTAACTACCTACAAAGATTATCTCCTAGAGACATGGTGTTTACATTAAGCTATGTAGCAACACGGCAGCTGCTTGTAGATGTGGCATTTTTGGCCACTCCCTTAAGGCGAGGGCCAGAAGTACAGATTCATTTTCATACGCAAGTGCTTCACCTTGCAACATTCAGCTGAGCACCGGTGGTGATCGGCGCTCTCTTTAAAATAAATTCTCTATGTATTGTATTTATATACTTCACTTCCTATATGTATATGCAGAGATCAAGCCTAATTTGGTCCACAGTAATCTGCTAATTAGAGATCCCGATGGCTGGGTGGTTGAGGGTAGTGGTACGTTAGCCTCCCCTGCTGCACTGCCGCCTTCTCACAGGACATATTTTCTGGTGTACGAGCTCCCTCAGCTGTTTGGCTCAGCCTGGGAGAATTATTGGTACAGAGCTACATCACACCAGGGGCATCTCTGGTAATCTTTCCTCCTCTCCTTTACTGAGTGAGGAGGTAAATGGTTTAACCTCAGTAGGTTTTTGTTGGCTCCATGCTTTGTGCTACCAGGACACGCTAAATTAACCCTTGTAGCTGGCAGGGGGAGGGAGGTGATTTGGGGTGACTGACCTGCAGTGTTTATTCAGCAGGATAGATG